GCAAAAAAATGAAAGAGTGAGTACTGGATCCTACTAATAGGGTAGTTGCTGAAACTATAGATGAATCATTGAGCTGTGATATATCCACAAAATCAGGAATTTTACAGACATGTCCGAAAAAAAGCGTGCGCGCTGTACTTTGACGGCTTTTAACAGAACATGAAATGGCTTATACATTGTAAGATAAGTAGTCCAGCATCTGCTGATTCTGTTCAACAATTCTGTGTACTGAGTTTGCTTACACCCTTTCCTGTTTCTTCGGTAAGTCACGAGAAAATGGACTTCTCGAACATTTTTAAATGAATGCTTTATGCAGCTTGATGGGTACCTTAACAAGTCGAAAGCACATTGACAAGTTAAAAGCATTTCAGCAAGCACTTACTTTTGGGACACTTTGTATATTAGGTTGAACCGAAAGTTCTGTCGCACCATTTTCAAAAAATCATAACTTCTTTCGGTCACGACGATTTTGCGCAATTTAAATTTTGTCTGAAAGCATAAAACATGTAGTTTTCAAAAGCTTCCCGGGAAGTTTTCGACACGCTCAGGCGGCAGAGATAAAAATGAAAGAACGAGATCTTTCGAAATTCGGAATTTTTAAGCAAGAATTCTAGAAATTCAGAAACAGTGCGATAAAACAGAAAAGCCATTATCCTTATTTCTCTTACGTTTCATTACTATCTGAATCAAGTTTGTGCTGATCGAGCTCTTCTTTCAAAAGTTATGATTTTTTGAAAAATAATGCCGAAAAATCAGTTTCCTAAAAATTCTTAAGAGGATTTTATGGCATTTTTAACTTCTGAAAGAAGACCTCGATCAGCCCAAACTTGACTTAGTTCGTAATCAAATAAAAGAAAAATTAGGATAATGGCTTTGTTGGATTTTATCGCAAAGTTTCTGAATTTCTAGAATTCTCGCTTAAAAATTCCGAATTTCCAATGATCTCGTTCCGAAATTTTTATCTCTGCAACCTGAGCATATTGGAAATTCCGCAAAAAAAAAATTGGAAACTGCAAGCTTTACGCTTTCTGACATTTTTTGAATTTCGCAGAATTGTTGTGATGGAAAGAAGTTATGATTTTTTGAAAATGGTGCGAACAAACTTTCAGTTCAGCTAAGGCGCAATGCAACGGGTCCTAAGCGAAACTTTTTGACAGTTTGCTTACAAATCAAATTGTGTCCAAATTATGTTTCTGATAGGGACAACTAATGTCTGATTCGTCGTCGACGACGGCTACGACATTGATAGTGATCACCAATGTGCTCCTCTCTTCATCCGCGATCGCACCTCATCATTATCCAAATATTGGTTGAAAACAAAAAAAATTATGCACTTGAAACTCATCTTTTTGGAAAAAGTCAGGATTTTGCTACGAAAATCAGGCATGACGTTCAAGCAAAGTGTAAGTTATATTTTCTTCATCGATGCATCCCACAAGAGACGTCCGATTAGTCGAAGTGATCTTTCCAAATGAGTTATATTCCACTTTGAAGAGTATTATCTGCTAGGCGCCTCTGCATGTCTTATGAAGTTTTTTGAAGCGAAAAATAAACGAAGAATTTGAGTGAATCAAAAAAAAAATGGAGTGCTGTGATAATCAGCGTTTGATCATTTGAGCAATTCTGACAAATTTTGTTCTAATTACGTATTCAATTTTTCAACCCAAAAAGCTCATAACTCGGTGACCAGAGGCGCTTGGCAGATAACAAAGACAGATTTGGAGTCAGCGTTTGATGCTCTTCAAAGTCGTATTGATATCATGTGAAAAGGCCACTAGCCAAACGGATCTCCCTTTTCAGATGAATGTGATGCTCTCGAGTATTCAACGTATTAGGATGATTCATAATTAATGCACGTTTTTTATAATTCACCTTTCAACAAAGATAATTCCTTTTTGAAAAGATGTTTCTAAACGCAATAAAAACTACTGTAACCGCCAAATCATTGGCTATACAACAGATACTTTTGCGTGACTGTATCTCTCACAAGAAAGATTTTCTGGCCTGAAGTTTGCCAACAACTTTTTTCGGAAGCCTCTATTTTGAGAGAGCATAACTTATGTGGAAATGAAGTAGGATAAAGCAGACTTCGCTCATAGTGTAGCCAAGGGTCTCTTGAGCAGTGGTGCCAAGTTTGGATTTTACGGAAAATTTTTGAAAGAAAATGTCGCAAAAAAGTCGAAAGTATTCACTTTTTTCTGGCATCTCGACGGGTTCAAAAATTAGTCATTTTTGAAATTATTTTACTCATCTCCGCTGAAAAGTGAGAAAACCCTAGAGCTTTCCTACCATCAAATGAACTAGGTCTACCCTTGCTGAATTGTGCAAAAGACCTGCAATCGCCCTTTGCTTCAAAGTTTTATATGGCACGGAAGGGCCGCGACAATCATCTAAGTTTGCGTTTGAATTTCTCGGCTCAGAATTCATGGAAAATTTTGGGCAAATGGCATTTTCGAGCATAAAGTTTGCTAATCCTTATGCATATTTTTTGATATTAATCCGGCTATTTGTCATGGATTTAGGGCAAAAAGAGCGAAAAGCAAAAATTTTGGGATCCAGTGTCTTTTATTTGAAGGCTTAGAACTTTGGAATGAACGGAGATGTACGAAAGCGAAGGCACATATAAGAAACTAGAAAAAACGCCCATTCACATAGCGTAGTTTTTGAGGGAATTGATTCCACATCAAATACCAGCTCTTGGAAAAAAAGTGAGAAAAACGTGCATTAATTATGAATCAACCTAATATTTGGCTCGTTCGAAAACAGATTTCATCATCCTTAGGGCATAAATTTGGTCAGATTGACTTAAGATGGAAGGACTTTGATTTTTCCACGTTTATAAGATTTAGTGTATAATTACGGAGACTTTCTAGTAAAATCGAGGTCGTTATGTATGTCCCCATCGAATTTAATGAAGCAGATTTCAGTTAACCTTTTTTAGACTACAGGGCGTCCCAAAAAAATGTGAACACTGTTTGATTGCTAATAACTCCCTTGTTTTCAAGTCTTTCGCCGAGCTTGAGGAACCACTTTGTAGAGCGAGGTTCAACTTAGATTTATAGTGTGGAGCGAATCATCGATCGCTCTTCGTCACTGTAGGATTACGGTAGAAACGTCGACAAGGATTTTAGGCCATTGGAGGCCATATTCTCCTCGGAACAAAACCAAACAAGCCAAAAACCTATATATTACGGTAATGGCAGCAGCTGATTTCGAATATGAAATTTTTATTTGACTGTGATGCTTTTTTCCAAGGTTATACCAAGTGTAGACCGTAACAACTGAATTTTTAGCATTTGTCAGAAATGTGATTACACCGTCAAAAAAGCTAAAAACACTCGTAAAAAGTTGTGCAGTGGAATCAGCGTGCTTGAAAATAGTACACGATTTTTTAGATTTTTTGAAAAAAAATTGTCGAAAGGCATATTTCACACTGGATCCACATGCTGAAAGTTCATACCGTAATCCTACAGTAACGAAGAGCGATTGGTGATTCGCTCCATACTATAAATCTAAGATGAACCTCGTTCTATAGAATGGCGCTTCAAGCTCGGTGAAAGACATGAAAGCAAGAGAGTTATTAACGATCAAACAGTGTTCACATTTTTTTGGGACACCCTGTATGATTGTATCTCATTCAAAGTCCATAGAAGCTGTTGGAGTTGAATAAAAACAAGAAACTGCTCTTTGAATCTTAAATCTTGTGCAGAACGTTGCGCACGTAAATGATGGTTTATTTCGTTAGAGAGTGGTTTTCAACGCTTGCGACTTGTCAGTGCTCCTACTCATAATATGAATCAGAATGACATACAGGGTGTCCCAAAAGTAAGTACACACTTTCAATCGACAACATCTCTCTTCCCAACGGGTTTTTTCCTGCCGTTTAAGTACCATTCTGTAAAGGAGGCTTCAACTTAGATTTACAGTATCGATCGAATCATCGATCGCTCTTCATTACTGTAGGATTACTGTAGGAACTTTGACAAGGATTTAAGCCATTGGAAACCATATTCTGCCTCGGAACAAGACTGAACAAGCCAAAAACTCTTACACTATGGTAATGGAAGCCGCTGATTTCGAATATGAAAGTTCCACTTTACTGTGATGCTCTTTCCAAAGTTATCCCAGGTATACCGTAATCACCGCATTCCCAGTATCTGTCAGAAATGTGATTACATCGTCAAAAAAACTGAAAACACTTGTGAAAAATTGTGTAGTGGAATCAGCGGGGTGGCGGTCAAGAATAACGATAGCTCTGCCAGCCGCCCAGCTGCCAGCTGCTCGAGCGCGCCAGAAGGCCCCGCCTCTTCGCTCTGGACGAGCGCACGCATGGGCATGCGGCGTGGTTTGAAGGACGCGCATCTTATCGACTGATGATTCTCCATTTGTTCACGATTCTTACCCAAAATCATATTTTCTCATTGCGATTTATTTCTCTCGTATTCGTGCAACTTCTTACTTTTACGTGTTTTGCTCTGATTTTTCAGTCTGTTCTCATTTATCATTGTCTCATTCAACCTTTATAGCTTACCGTGTGTTTTATTTCGTATATAGTTGCCAATATTCTCATTTTCACTGGTGTTTGTTTTTTATAGGATTTTCGTATTTGCGTGGGTGGATTGCGTCAACACTCATCAACAATACTTGGTAAGTGCCTAGTGTTTCTTATATTTCTTTTCGTATTTCTTATTTATGTTTCTTGTATTTTGGATTGTACTGAACACTTTTTCGAAAATATTTTCAGATCCTGTCCCACATCTCCGACTTTCCCAGCTTCATCCGCAAGTCCAGTTTTTGTTTTTGTTTTTGTTTGTGTATTGTTTTTCTAATTTGTTTGTTGTTTTGTTTTGTTTTTAATATTTTGATTTTGTTGTTGTTCGCTGTTTGTTGTCGGTTGTTGAATACATTGTTTATCAAAAGCTGTATTAACACATTATCAATAACACATGAGTAGGCAATTGTTAATAATCCAAATAGCTTAGGTAGTAGAAAGATGTCTATCAATTTACTTTATTAGTCACAAACTGCGGCATCTTTCTACAATACATTGATATCATAGTTGTGCGGGGAATGGGATTGCTTGGGGAAAATTCTTGTTCATAGCGCCTCATCACTGCAAGAGTTTTTGCGCGTCTTATCCTGTCCCTCTTCTTCAGTACTTTACCAGTGCGCCTCTGAAAGTTTTACATTTACATACGTCGGGATTCAGTTTTCGATATACCCACCCTTTCCATGCGAATAATCTCTGCTTTAGCTTCTGTGTTACAGCTGCGCAGGCGTTTTAGCAGCTTGGACATTGACGGGTATTTGCATTTGAGCATCTCTCCGAGCCTTCTAAAGTATTCATAGGTTAGAATGTATGATGCTTTTAGTGCTTACCTATGAAAAGCTTCTGCCGCATTGGTGGTTCTTGTGTCCTCGATTGCCCATTTGTTCCACAAGTTTTTGAAAGGGCCCGAGTACCATGTTGTTTTAAGATAGCGCAAAAACTGGCAACACTTTTCATAAGCTTCATGTGTGCGGTCTAGATCAGGTCGTTGTAATGCGGGTAATCTCCTGTGAAGGCGTGAGGGCAAGAAGATGGATCCCTTCACTCTCTCCCGCCACCTTATCACTTCGTAGTCTCGATTATCTCCAGCTAGATACTTGCGCAAACCCAGGGCGTCTTTCTTTCTGTTCCAAGCTACAGCCAAATGAAATCCGTAACCCTCAACAGACGCCTGAGGGAACACCTTTTTTGCTGCAGCTATGGAAGCCCTCTCAAAATCTAACACAACCTTCAGCCTATGGAGTGCCCAATGACGTTCCAATTCTTCTTTGAGCTGCAGGAATATGAGCTCGTACGTCCGCTCCGTCTCCGACGTCGTGATGGCGTACAGCAGCGGCATGTCTACTGTACTGTTACAAACCATGGACTGTATATAACTGTCCCTTCTTCTTGGTAGCATCAGGCTGCAATTAATTCACGCCATCCGCTACCAACGCATACAGTCCATGGGTGCGCGCCATCTAGAATTGAACAGGTAGTTGTAACATGTAGCTCATATGCTTGGGATCATGTACCTCTTTCGTGTCCGCCGAATAGTACATATGCAAACCCGGATTTTGAAATTGGAGGAAGCGTGTTCCATCCGAGAGTGCTGCATGCCTCGCTGGAATTGATTCCATCGTGCAACTCGGGTCCTCCAAATTTGTGATGGCCCTTCGTATGGTTCTTTGGCGGGAGTTAAAGCCGTCTTTATGGAAAAAGTACAGCATATCATTTTCTTCTTCTTCGTCTAAATTCACCGTATTTCTGTTGTGGTTCATCATGTGTAGTTCGTTATTTACTATCACCGCAGCATTCATCTATGAAGTCTTGAATGTCGTGCCATGCTTGAAGAGTGCTTCTTCCTGCTAAATTCTTATCGTCACGGATCTTCTTGCATTCTCCGTACACTAATCGCTCTACTTTATCCTGCGCAGTCTTCACTGGCTTGCTGTATAAGCTGAGATGATTCGTTATTTGTTTGATCCCGAACGGGATCTCCCACTGATCACGATTATTTTCAAAGTTATTTATATCCGCAAAAACTTAATGAAAACGTCACAGAGTTTTGCTGTACATTTATTACGACAGTGCTACGCATGTTTGTGAAAGAAATAAGTGAAAAATCAACTTCACAAAATCTTCGCTGAACCTGTGCTCGCGAATTGGGCTCTATCAAAAAACTCAAAACTTGCACATTTCATCGCTGCTAAAAACATGCTTAGCATGTCGTAATAGGTCGACAGCAAAACTCTGTGACGTCTTCAGTGAGTTTTTGCGGATATAAATAACTTTGAAAATGAGCGTGATCAGGGGGAGATCCCGTTGGGATCATACAAATAACGAATTATCTCAGCTTATACAGCAAAATGCTGCTAGTCATTGTGCTACAATATTAGGTTAGTAGAGCCTCCAATAGATGAACAAACAAGGAAGAACACAGATTCCCAGAGCACCGAGCTATGAATTGGAAACTGCCTGTCCGGGTAACTTACCCGGACGGACGATTGTTGCATACCGCCCCTGGTATGTGGAGTTAGTTCTTAAGTGCTCAAAGGTGTAGCACCGTGTTTGCCCTTCATTACAAAGATTGTTAGGCTTTTGGATCGTGGAGCTATTGTTTCTAACTGGAATTGAAAATCGCAAGACTGCGTGCTTGCCATGCTGGCTTGGCTCAACAGAAGCATGGAATCTTGGCGCAGACAAAATAGCCACAACGACGACGCTGTGGCCTAGTGCTCCTGGAGCTTGCATCAGTGCTTCCTCTTCCGGCAGTTGAGCTTGTTTCTCCATTCGGACCTGTTCTTGCTGGTGGTTGGGTCGTTTGAGAGCCTACATTGTTTTGATTCTTTGATTCGGTTTTGATTTTGATTCGGGATTAAAATATCGTATGTACTCACTCACCCGCAGCTTGATTACTCAGCATTTGATGCTGCATCTGCATTTGTTGCAAAAGAGCAGCATAGGTTAGCAAATTAAAGAAAAAAAAGAAAAAACAAAAAGAAACAAAAGAAATACCGAATATAGCTTTCCCTAGCTAGGTGCTCCAAGCTAGAATTCAAATTTTTCGAGAACTAAAGCTTGTAGAGAGCTGAAAATCTAGGTCTGTACTTCTATAGGCTTGTGGTATACAACTATTATGTGGGGATGGCACAGCATCACTTTGGCAAATGCACGAAAATTCCCGTTTTCTTGATTTCTAATGGAGGAAAAAATACGGCAAAGGCGTATATAGATATCTTATGTGGATAGTGTTTACGTGAGCAAGTTAGAATTTTTGTAAGATTTTTATGAACTGAGTTGCGATTTTTTTCGATTTTTCGGGCAATTGAATCTTTTTGGTTTTTGGGTCGAAACTCGAGGTAGATCAGAGCTGCTGCTAAATCAAGAGAGCCATCTTGTAGAGCTTGCTTTGCTCTATCGAATGGTACTTTGCAACCTATCTAGAAGCGAGAAGTGTATGACTTATTGAGGTTGAAATTCAAAACGGGCATTAATTTCCGGACAACCTAATAGTCAACGATTATGGTGATTGTGGAGGGACTTTCTATGAGAAATTGTAAAAAGTGCGTCTGTCTTATTTTGTTCCCTTTCTGTTTTCCCAACCTTTTTATGTCGACCTGGGAATTATTGTGCAAAATGATGAGAAATGGAGGAACAATCCAGACAACGTCAGGAAGAAAAAAAAGTTGTTTTGTCATGCAAGTATTCTTCATAAATAAAGAAAACAGTTTTTTGTCTTAACTGCTCTTCCCTTCTCTTGGCATGTTTTTTCTTAATAGCACGGCTTTTAATTATTTTTAGCGAAAAAAGCGTGAAATTGAGCATTGTTTTATCTCGGCTTCCCCGCGGTTAGCAGTTCGCGGTCCCGCAGTGAAATCAGCAAATGGAAAGTCGCTAAATGCAAAATTACGAAATTATTTTGGCGTCGTCTGCGCATTTCTATTGCCTTTTCGGTTCTGTTTGTTCTACTGTTGTATTTGTTCATGAAATTGATTTGCGTAATGTATGCGTTGACCTCCACGCAATCAATGATATCCAGCATCAAAAGGATTAATGAGATTTTATGTTTTTTTCTCCTCTCATGACTTTTCACTTTTTTTTATGTCCTTCAACATCGCTTCATGTGATTCGCTATAAATGACGGTACTTAGAGTGCTGTGGCCATCATGCGCAACTCGCACAAGGGGTGGCCATATAGCGCATATTTTGTGTATTTTCTATGCGCGACTCACACAGGCGGGCCATGCCGTATCGTACTGTGCTTCTGGCATAAGAGCACTATATAAACCGTCATTTGAGAGAAAGGCGCGGTTTTGTCAATTTCTACAATACCGCTCACAGAATGTGCAAAATTTCCGTGAATGTCGCAGAATTCCAGGAATTTTGCGAAATTCCCAAAATTTCGCGAACCTTCGCGGAATTCCTTGAATTCTGCGACATTCACGGAAATTTTACACATTCTGTGAGCGGTATTGTACGTGTAAGGCTGTACATGATCGCGAAGGTCTTGCTGTTGATTTTGCGGCCATTACTCGCTCACTAATAGAAAAAGCAAAAAGAAAAGAAGACAAGGATCAAATATTCTATGAAAAAATATTGAACAAAATAAAAAACTAATAAAAAGGAACATCCGTTTCGTTCCTACCCTTAGACGGATACCAAATAGTTAATAAGCCCTCCCCGGAACTCATCAGTAAGGAGGGAGGGCTTTGGTTAGTAAAAAAATCATAAAAAACTCACCTTATCCTTGTCCAATCGTAACATCCAATGTCGGTGGCGAAGGGGCGAAGATGATCGAATTCGCATTTCGTACCAACTGCCTGCAAATAAAATGATACTCAGCCAAGTTTTGGCGCATCATAAAATGTGATTTCTACGCAGCCAAATGTTGCGTCATTTTTGAGTCGGAGCAGAGCATCGATCAATACTAACATTGACCTCCAAAAGGAAGTGTGTGGAATGTGTGATCATATGTGTATATGTATGTCTTGTATGTTTCTGTATAAGTGTGTGTGTAAGTGTGATTATGTGTATATGTAGGTGTTTGTGTATGTGTATATGTATGTGTATCTGTATCTGTATGTGTATGTGTGCATGTGTGTGTATGTGTGTATGTTGTGTATGTGTGTATGTGTGTATATGTGTGTGTATGTGTGTGTATGTGTGTGTATGTGTGTATGTGTGCATGTGTGTGTATGTGTGTATGTTGTGTATGTGTGTATGTGTGTATATGTGTGTATGTGTGTATGTGTGTGTATGTGTGTATGTGTGTATGTGTGTGTATGTGTATGTGTATGTGTATGTGTACGGATAAGTATATTTGTATGCGTATATGTATGTGTATGAGTATGTGTAAGTGTATGTGCATGTGTTTGAACATGTGTATACGTAAGTGTATTTGTGTGTGTATATGTACATGTTTGTGTATGTGTTAGTATATGTGTATGTGTATGTATATGTGTGTGTGTTTGTGTGTTTGTGTTTGTATGTGTATGTGTATGTGCATGTGTATGTGTATGTGTTTGTGTGTGTATATGCAAGTGTATGTGCATGTGTATGTGTATATATGTATGTATGTGTATTTGCATGTATATGTATATGTGTATGTGTGTATGTATATGTGTGTATGTGTATGTGAATATGTATGTGTATGTGTGTACGGTGTCTATGCACGTGCAGGTGTATGTGTATATGTTTATGTTATTGTGTTTGTGTTTTTTCATGTTTGTGTGTATAGATGATGCATGTATGTATATGGTTTTTATGGTACGTGAAAAGATTCTAGCAAAACTCTCCTAACTGTACTTAATATGGTTTTATTACTATTTATCAAATTATATTTAAAGAAGATATAACTATTTTTATTAAGAAGCTTAGTAACGCAAGCAAGAATAGTCAAATCGTTATAACCATTATATTCAAGTATGCTTTTCAACCGACGTATTCTGTTAAGGAAATCCTCAAATTTCGAACATGTTCTAGCTATTCTTACATACTCTGTATATATAGTTGCTAATTTAATCTTATTAGATATACAAGAACCTGCATTGATAAATCTCTTGACTTGAAAATCGAAATCATCAGTTTTGTTATACATTTTAGTAGTTATGCGATTGTTGTGTATAACTATTTGGAGATCTAAGTAATTGCAATGTTTATCATCCATGTTAGTTGTTTCTAATTTTAGCTGTTGTTCATATACATTACTTAAAAGCAATTTGATATCCATATTTGAGTTATATATTATAAGTATATCATCCATATATCTAAATGGGTGAATATTTAGATTATAAGTAATGTTAGTTTTGGAAAATTTGTATTCATACCAGGCTAGTGTAAGATCTGCAAGAAGTGGACTGCAGCTACCACCTTGTGGAACACCTACCTTCTGTTTGTATATTAGATTACCAAATTTACAATAGCTATTATCTAGTATGTAATCTATTAAGTAAAGTACATCTGTGATACGATAGAATCTCGTACGTGAGTTATTACTAGTATCTGAATTTGTGTAATATATTCTATTGTAGTTATTATAAGCTATAAATTGTTTGTTTGCATTTTTATAGCATAATACTAGTATTTCTTTGAGATTATGTTTTATAACGTTATGAGGTAAGTTGGTAAACATGTTTGTAAAATCTGCAGAAAAAAGTTTCACATTAGTCAGTCTCAGGTTTATTAACTTATTACTAATATTAATATCATCTATAGCCCAGTAACCAATAAAATTCATGTTGCGAGTTTTGATTGCTTGTACATAATTTATGAAATGTTTTTTGACAAAGCTAAGAATTAGTTTAAGTTCTATTGCTAAAGGTTTAATACTACTATGAGTAGCACCTGTAATAAATCTGAATTTTACTGGAGTTTTGTGTAATTTCGGGAGACAATATATAGTTGGAATTTTATCATTTCCCAAATTTTCGAGCTTATTTACTTCACAAAAGTTTTGATGTCTATGTATAATTGCATCACAGGTTTCTCTATTATATAATTCATAAGTATCATTATCAGTAAAACTGATATCTCTTCTTCCATTATAATCAACTCCCATTTCTTTCAATAAAGTAAGAAGATAGAATTTAAAGCATATTATACCGTAATTATTTTTTGCTTTGTCTAGAGGACAAATAACAAAATTGTGAAACAGTTTTCGATTATGTTTATTATTTATATTGTAGGTCTGTTCTCCTTTTAAGTTATCTCCAAATAGTAAAGGTTTGAATTTTCTGATGAAAGCCTCTTTTAGGTAAGTTCTAATGATTTCTTTTTTATTATTATTTATTTTGTAATGTTTATAATATTGAGTCAAAATATTTTCTGTAGTAGCATGGATCCATTCATAAACATCCTTTTTATTAATAAAGTTATTTATTCTATAATTACATCCTTTCTCCATTATTGATCTGAGTGATGGATCTTTTACTATTTGTAAATTACCAGTAATTACATGTTTATGATTAGTATCAATAAAATTTTTATAATCGATATCGGAGCACTTGCAGTCACTAAGAACTATATTGAGTATTTTATTCATATCTAATGTTTTTAGTAATTTATTATAATTGAATATCTTTTGCGATATTGGTGGTTTGTATCGAAAAACTATTCTAGTTCTTTTATACTGATTGGTATCATTAATGATATTTTTGATGTATTGATTATTTAGAACTTTGTTGAAATTGATTTTATCAAAAATGTTATGGATATAGTAAGTTGTCACGTTTATATTTCTATCCTTATCGTAAGTTTGTTTTATTGACTTACTGCCAAACTGATATTTACAAAGTATACTAAGTACTGATAATCTAATTTCATCTACAAAACATTCTAAGAAATTTGGATCATAGGTTAGTCTGATTAACTGCAGGATAAAATTCTTCTTAAGAGAGTTAATATAAGTGAACAAGCAAGACAATGAGTCCATGTTATTGACTTTTCGGATGAAGTCTTGAACTGTTTCCTTATTTTTATTCTTATTTCGTCTACTGCTTCTATGTCTATTTTTGGTGATACTTAAAGCAAAATATGGATGATTACTCTTATGTTGTAAAGGATTATCTATATTGGATATGTTTCCATATCCTTTAATGTTGTCATTTAAACCAAATGGATATGCAGTGTTTAGAAGCTTTATCCAAAAGAGTTCCTTATCTGTTAATATTGATTTATCATCATTGCTTTCACAATTATCTAAAATGGAGAATATAAATTTTCTGTTAGTACATTTGTGTTTGAAGTGATTATAAAGATAGTTGCTAATATCATTTTTATTAATATGATATATATGTTCTTTCATTCTACTTCTAAATTTACGAGTGGTTAATCCTACATATTGTTTATTGCAATCTGAGCAAGTTATGCAATAGATTACATTTTTACTGTTGCATGTAGCAGAAGTGTTTATATTAGTAAATATTTTTAACTTAGTTGAATTGGATGTTATGAATGGATCATGACTGATTATGCCACAAAGAGAACAGTTTCTTGAACAGTATGTAGCCACATTATTATTTCCAAAATTATCAAGTACATATGTATTGTTTACCTTACTCTTATGGAACGAACTAAACCTGAAATAGTAACCGGCATCGTAATTTATAGTTTTTGCAGACCCATAAAAAAGACTACAAGGGGCAGGCCTACACCGAAATGTAGCCAGGGAGATAGTAATTTAGCAGGACTGCTGCAGGGTTTACGGCGGACCCAGGTGGTGTTTCAAAGAATGATTGTTGAATATGTAAAGGAGATAAACGGGGCAAATGGAGTCGTAGAAGCACACCCCCTTAGCCTACCCCTACTGGTGTTACCCATCAAATGCCCCCCTATTTTTTGGGAACAAGAGGTATGGCCCTCTTTTCAAGGAATGGTTATGTGTTAGTAAAGGACTAAAAATTACGATGAAAAATACTAACCCCCCTAAAAGATACCCTAACTAACTTAAAAGTTAGTGTAATGTATAAAAGGAAGAGTAAAGGAGTAGTAAGGTAAACATACTTGGCTACATACCTAAAGGACCTTGAAAGGTCCTTGTATTCTGTCCTGTGGCGATTGCTACAGACATATATTATACCATATTCTAATAGATTTTGACAAATTTAGGCCATACATCTATGTGAGAGTTGGTATTCGTCATAGTGATATCTGTCTATCATCATTGCCCGTTCTAATTTGCACATTGTTTTCGTACAAGTATTCTAGTTATTTATTTACAGGAATGGCATCGGCTGAAGATGTGCAAAAGAAACTGGCACAATTTCAAGAAAATGTCAACAAAAAGGCACTTATAGATTGGGTTAGGATTACAGGCTTACCCAACCCACGCAGGAGGAAACTAGACAGACTATTAGAGGACTTTACAAGTGATATATTGAAGTAAGTGTTTATATAATAAACAACTGTTTCTAATTGTTTCTTACAGGTATACCCATGGTTCGCCTTTTAGTTGGCCTGTCCCTGCTGGAAACCAAGGTGGCTTATTGGCTATACGTGTAAGTGAAAGTAGATTGTGTTTGTAAGTTTTTGATATGTCTTATTTAGGCGCGCATAACATATGACTTCTGGAAATTTTTTATGCAAGACGGCCGGAAAAACCTCTACGAATACAACAACACTAACGGGACTGATATCAAGATTTCGAGAGAAAAAACCATTACTTTGGAAGACCAAGAACGTTTAGGGTATGTTTATTTTAAGTTTATTTTATGTTTACTTTATGTTATTCGAGTTAATGAAGTAATTAAGGCTATACATACGCAAAAGGATCAAGGACGAATACAGGCGCATCAACAAAAAATGTATAGAAGTTACTTTGAAAAAAGTTTGCTCAAGATTGGTGATAACCAGGTAGGTTTAGTCTATGAAAATATTAGTATACTTAAGAACTTACTTCATTTTCAGCCCGTCAAACCTGCCATTGCAGCAATATTGTTGGATATCGACATCGATCAATGGTCAGGATTACCATTGGATCAACTTTTATCTGAAAAAGAAAAAGAATCTTTACAGGTATATTGAATAGTAATGATAAATAATACGAACTGATGATTATGTTTTTCAGAAGGGTGAAATTAAGAGAGGATCGTTAGTGCTGCCTGATATTCAATTGAAAAAATGTGTGCATACTAATCAAGAATTGTCAGTGGAACATTCTGAAGAAAAGGAGAATGACGAGCAGGTATGTATAGTTTCCAATAAACTGTTATATCTAATATAAAATTCAGGATCGTCCGTCTACATCAAAAAAACGCACTTCGGATCATGACGAAGATGAACCCGTTCAGAAAAAGCGATTGGTGCAGTAAGAAACCAGAAACTGCAAACAAAATGACGTTTTATCCTATTAGAAGAACATTTTAATGAGTTTTATCGAAGCATGTAATAAAATAAATCATGATGAGGAAGTTGGTAGTATAGAGAAAAGAAAAACTGTCTATGCGACAGTGCGGCCCAATTGGCCGGAACAAGAAGAGCAGCCCCAATTGGGCTGAGAGGTAAACAAAGTACCTCAACAATGTATATAGAAAAAGCATGTACATATGTAACCCAAAAAGGTACCAGTAGCTAGTAGAATCGGGAAACCCTCGAGTTACTACTAGCTACTGGCATACACTAATAGAAAAAGCAAAAAGAAAAGAAGACAAGGATCAAATATTCTATGAAAAAATATTGAACAAAATAAAAAACTAATAAAAAGGAACATCCGTTTCGTTCCTACCCTTAGACGGATACCAAATAGTTAATAAGCCCTCCCCGGAACTCATCAGTAAGGAGGGAGGGCTTTTGGTTAGTAAAAAAATCATAAAAAACTCACCTTATCCTTGTCCAATCGTAACATCCAATGTCGGTGGCGAAGGGGCGAAGATGATCGAATTCGCATTTCGTACCAACTGCCTGCAAATAAAATGATACTCAGCCAAGTTTTGGCGCATCATAAAATGTGATTTCTACGCAGCCAAATGTTGCGTCATTTTTGAGTCGGAGCAGAGCATCGATCAATACTAACATTGTCCTCCAAAAGGAAGTGTGTGGAATGTGTGATCATATGTGTATATATGGAGCTGCTGCTAAATCAAGAGAGCCATCTTGTAGAGCTTGCTTTGCTCTATCGAATGGTACTTTGCAACCTATCTAGAAGCGAGAAGTGTATGACTTATTGAGGTTGAAATTCAAAACGGGCATTAATTTCCGGACAACCTAATAGTCAACGATTATGGTGATTGTGGAGGGACTTTCTATGAGAAATTGTAAAAAGTGCGTCTGTCTTATTTTGTTCCCTTTCTGTTTTCCCAACCTTTTTATGTCGACCTGGGAATTATTGTGCAAAATGATGAGAAATGGAGGAACAATCCAGACAACGTCAGGAAGAAAAAAAAGTTGTTTTGTCATGCAAGTATTCTTCATAAATAAAGAAAACAGTTTTTTGTCTTAACTGCTCTTCCCTTCTCTTGGCATGTTTTTTCTTAATAGCACGGCTTTTAATTATTTTTAGCGAAAAAAGCGTGAAATTGAGCATTGTTTTATCTCGGCTTCCCCGCGGTTAGCAGTTCGCGGTCCCGCAGTGAAATCAGCAAATGGAAAGTCGCTAAATGCAAAATTACGAAATTATTTTGGCGTCGTCTGCGCATTTCTATTGCCTTTTCGGTTCTGTTTGTTCTACTGTTGTATTTGTTCATGAAATTGATTTGCGTAATGTATGCGTTGACCTCCACGCAATCAATGATATCCAGCATCAAAAGGATTAATGAGATTTTATGTTTTTTTCTCCTCTCATGACTTTTCACTTTTTTTTATGTCCTTCAACATCGCTTCATGTGATTCGCTATAAATGACGGTACTTAGAGTGCTGTGGCCATCATGCGCAACTCGCACAAGGGGTGGCCATATAGCGCATATTTTGTGTATTTTCTATGCGCGACTCACACAGGCGGGCCATGCCGTATCGTACTGTGCTTCTGGCATAAGAGCACTATATAAACCGTCATTTGAGAGAAAGGCGCGGTTTTGTCAATTTCTACAATACCGCTCACAGAATGTGCAAAATTTCCGTGAATGTCGCAGAATTCCAGGAATTTTGCGAAATTCCCAAAATTTCGCGAACCTTCGCGGAATTCCTTGAATTCTGCGACATTCACGGAAATTTTACACATTCTGTGAGCGGTATTGTACGTGTAAGGCTGTACATGATCGCGAAGGTCTTGCTGTTGATTTTGCGGCCATTACTCGCTCACTAAGTTTTCTTTGCTTTTTATTATCAAACACAGCTCATTGCACTACACCCGCACAATGTATGTTGCATTCAATTCAATATAATGTCTTATATGTGATAAGTTTAGAGTTTTTGATATTGCGAGCTATTCTCACATTTGTCATATAATCACATTAATGTATTGACTGAAGTCTTTGGAGATCACACTCCCCAAGTACAAAAAACACACATTCGCGAGAAAGTTGTCAGACTTTTCCATAAGACAAAAATTGTATATTCCACAAAATACAGCGTTATCCTCAGTGAGTCAAAGTAACTCCTGGTAATCACTTACACATTTCTATTGTCATTTCTTATCAAATGAATCTTTCAATGTGGGCTGCCGAATCCGTTCACATGGTCTTCACATGCTCGAGGCGCCTATAAAAGAAGATGGATTGGCTCGTCCAGGCCATTTTTGGACGCCAGATGAGCCATCGAAAAAAAGAGAGGCAAGAGGAGGAAAACCAGGGAAAAAGGGGGAAGGGGAGCAAGCGCGATCCTTGGCAACGGAAAGGAGATGGAACAATGGAGAATCTCCACAATGTTATAATCTATCCCCGCGGAACCAAAAAATGTGAAGCCCCTATTCCAACCTAGAACACATTCAAGCAAATGCTCCCAAGGTCTCCATTATCAGTACCAGAGATGCCCTCCGATGCCCCAGTACTCAGTCTAAAACTTCCATTATCGTAATTTCGAATAACCTTAGCGACGTACCGAGGCGAATCTGGGAACATTTTTTGAGGAGCTGAAGGGAAGTTTGGGAAGTGAGAGCTTCGGAACAATTTTCAATGCACCTACGGAGCTGACGGCGCTCGTATAAGGTGTTGCTTTCAGCACTGGTCGTTAAGAGCCGAAGCAGTTTTTATCCGACAGCCCATTCCTTTCGTTCCATCTCCTGCGCAGAGGACACTAGATATCGAAGGAGTGAAGCCTTAACCAAAATTTGAAGAAGAAGGGAGACGTCACCGTTCGCCATCTGATACACCCTGTTTTACTATATTCATTTTTATACTATTTTGCAGTAGGTAGCGTTCGACAAATGTGTAGAGTTGTTTGTTCTTTAAAATTTGAGGGCTAATGTAAATTAATGTAAATATACTCTGTTCGACTTGCTAGTGTAACTAATGTAAATTTTGGTAAATTTTTCTTATTAAACTACTAAAAATGAAATTGTATCGGATGATGGAATAAACTGGAAAGGGCATTTCCCTTTTGCGCTTGTAAAGAATATGCAGGTAATTGCCAGCCTTTTCGAGTTTGTTATACTGATGTTCCTTATCTTCTTAGTAAGTTTTATTTCAGACTATCTACAAGATAAGGATTATCAGCAGTTTCAGTTTTATTCTGGATGGATCTCTGCGCGCAGGTATGCGATAAAAAAACGCGGCAGAGGTAAGGGGAGGGCTCCCTCTCGTCGCGTACTACCGTATTCCCATGCTGGATACCTCTCCGATGTAGGTCCGACAAAGTGCCCCACAACAGCCTGATAGTACAGATATTACTTTTTTGGTAAGAAAAGACCTAAGTTGTTCTTCGGTAATTTCGTTAATATGCTAACAATAAAAAATGTGTTGTTTTTTGTTAATATGCTAGTAATAAACGTGTGTTGTTTTTTGGTTTAATACGCTAGCAATAAAAAATGTTGAGAAGGATGTGCACTTGCAAGGAAAGGGGGAAAGGTCTTGGGATGAAATGGAGGGAGGGGGGGAGGGATCGTACTCGGCCGGCCTGTGCCTGACCTCTTGCTCAACCCGTTATAGCAAAAGAGCCAGGTACCTAAGAGCCTTGGAAGGAGCAAAAGTAGAAGGCCGCTGTGTCGTTTACGTTGACGAAACCTGGTCTTTGATTGTAAGACCAGAAAGAGGGGGGCTGGGACGATAAAATTAACTAACTAGATTTTCTATGTAGATTGGTATCAGGTATGCCAGAAACTAACCCATCGGAGAGAAAGTTGTCATACCAGGACTCAGTGAATAAGAAAATCCCTTTGGAATGGGTCTGTGCTACGGGCCTTTGTAATCCTAAGAAAAAGAATTGCCAGATTGCTTCAGGAATTAGCCTATGATATCATCAAGTATGTCGCTTCCTTTTTCTTTATGTAAGGAAATCCAAAATGTGTATAATGTATATAATGTACATAGATTTCCGAAAGAAAACGGGCCGGCTTTCATGTGGCCTACAGCAGCCGGCATATCTAACGGAATACAGGCTATAAGAGGATTTCAACTAGTAGTAATTATATATTTTGAAGTTGGGTATTTAGGCCAAGATAAGTTATTCATTTTGGAAGTTTTTTTTACATCTGAAGGTAAAAATTATCTAACTGAACACAACAAAAATAACAACTCCGACATAAAAATCTCCAGAGAGCAAACTCCCCAAGTGTGAAATATTGAAAAGCTGGGGTAAGAACTTATTAAGAATGTATAAACATATATGATAATTATGTTTTAGTCTCTACATCAGAAAATTCATTCGTGAGGCACACGTTGAAGCAAATAGACGTTGTCCTGACATTAGCTTCAAGAAACGAATCTTAACTGCCTATCTCTTCGATATCAATACTGACGAATGGAGAGGATCTCAATAGAGGAGCTTATGACTCCGAAAGAGAAGGTTTTAATCGAGGTTATACTTAACTAAAGTAGTTAATTTTAAACTGTACATATTATTTACAGAATGGTGAATATGTGAGAGGGAGCCTGCGTTTGACGGGCATCAACTTGACTAAGCCGTTAAGAAGAAGTCGGAATCCTGAAAATATACTATCGACAAGTGGAGTATAATCCACGGATGAAAACAGTGAGGTAAGTGTGTGTTGAAATATTTTGAGATGTTAGTAACTAAGTGAATTTTAGGATCAAGCACAAAAACGCCCTTTGATCTTAGATTCAAATGAAGAGAACCCTACTAAACTAACCAAGACTTAACTTGTTTTATTAGGTTGTCCGGAAATTAATGCCCGTTTTAAATTTCAACCGCACTAACTCATACATTTCTCACCACTAAATAGGTTGCAAAGTACCATTCGATAGAGCAAAGCAAGCTCCA